GATGCTATTGTAAATGGGATTATTTTCTTCATTCTATTTTTTTTCAGATAATTTGTTACTGTATAGAAGAGCTACTGATTTTTGCATGTTAATTTGGCATCCTGCAACTTTACTGAATTCATTGATCCAACATGTTTTTGGGGTGGAGTTTTTAGCAAAGAATTAGTCTTCTGCCTGAGTGAAGCAGGAGAACTGGCTTCATAGGTAGCAAGCCTGTGCCCATTTCCCTGGCCAAACAGTGTCACTGGCTTTGCTCTGCCGATGACCAGTTCTACCTGCTGTATTCTCTGTTCAAGTATTTCTGGGCTATAGAGCTTCTAGCTGTTCTGTTTAGGTTTTCTGGTTAGGCTGGGCCAGGAGCTACACTCATCAGTGGACAAGGTTATGTGAATGAGTTCCCCTGCCAAGGCAGAATGGGCAGGCTAGCCTCAAGCAGCCTCCCTGGTGGCTTTCTGGTTGGTAGGGGCTGGGAGCTATACACAGCAGTTGGTGGGGGAAATTGACTCCAAGTTCAGCAAGGCTCTTTGTGATCTTGACTCCAGCTAACTTGCTCCCCAGATTCCCTAGCCAATGGTACCACTGGCTTTCCTCTGCAGATAATCAGCTCTGTCTGCCATACTCTATTCACTTGGTGTTGGGCCACACAGCTTCAGGTGTTCTACTAGTCTTCTTGGAAGCTTGGTGCAAGGAGATACACTCAATAGTGAACCATGTTATGACTTAACTCCCCAGTCTAAGCAGTGGTAGACCAAGCTCCAGGGCTAGCAAGACTCTTCTTTTCGAAACCCAAATCATACAGACCTGCACCTCACCAAGTTTCCTTGTGAGATTATGCCACCATCTTGTCTCTGCAGATAAGCACACCTGCTGGTTGGGACTACTACTTTGGTACTATAGGTAGGAACTCAGTCTGTCAAGGTCTGAATGCTGGGGTTTTTTTCTTTTTTTTTTTTAAAGATTTTATTTTTTTATTTGAGAGACAGAGAGCACGAGAGGGAAGAGGGTCAGAGGGAGAAGCAGACTCCCTGCTGAGCAGGGACCCCAATGTGGGACTTGATCCAGGGACTCCAGGATCATGACTTGAGCCAAAGGCAGTCACTTAACCAACTGAGCCACCCAGGTGCCCCTGAGTGCTGGTTTTTGCAAGCACTTCCTTCCCTGTCACAGATTCCCAGTGGTCAAGTTCCACAGATTACCCCACAATCCCCATGGTGTGAGACCGAGTGGGGGCTCTCAGGAAATGACACACAATACTAGAGGAGCTGGATGTCCATCCTGGGTTCCCTTTTCCAACTAAAGAAACTGGGGACTCAGGGGAAATCTCTCAGTATGGTGCTCCAATGGGCATGGGGGAGGGGCAATATGGTTAGTGTGTAGCCACTTCTACGTTTCTAAAGCAGTCTGTCTTGGTCTCTATGATGTGGAGATGGGGTGCTTCAGCTTTATCCTTGTGTTCTAGGATTTTTCTCAAGGGTGTCCTGTCCATGAATAGATTTTAATTTTTCTTGTTTGGGGGAGTGCAGTCAGGAATGACCTATGTTACAATTTTGGTGTGCCACTCCTCCTCTCACCTTTTATGTTTTTGATGTCATAATTTACCTTTGTTTATTTTGTGTATCCATTAACAAATTACTGTAGCTGTAGTTATTTTTAAGAATTTTCTCCTTTAATCTTTATGGTAGAGTTAAGTGGTTAATATGTTATCATACTGCAGTATTAGAGTATTCTGAATTTAACTATATGTCTTTACTAGTGTGCTGTATATTTACATATCACATGACAATTAGCGGCCTTTCATTTCAGCTTGAAGATCTTTCAGCATTTCGTGTAAGGCAGTTCCAGTGGTGATGGACTCACTTAGCTTCTTTTTCTTTTTGAGTCTTATTTCACCTTCACTTCTGGTGGATAACTTTGCCTGGTAAAGTATTCTTTTTAGGGAGTTTTTTCCAACACTTGAATATATCATCCCACTGTTTTTTGACCTGCAATGTTTTTACAGAGATTGCTTCTAATGCCTGAGAGGATTCCCATATATGAGATAAATATTTTCCCTCTTGCTGCTTTTAAAATTCTCTTTGTATTTTATTTTAGACAGTTTTATTATAATGTATATAAATATTGTTGTGGATTGAAATTTTGCAGTGATTTATTAGCTTTTGAACTTGTATATTCAAATATCTCCCCAGATTTGGGAAATTCTCAGCCATTATTTCTTTACATAAGCTCTGCCCTTCTCTTCTTTTAGGATTCCAGTCATTCATATATTTAGATTATTGGTGTTCCATACTTCATATAGTCTTCACTCTTTTTTATTTTCTCTTCTTCGTATAATTTCATACTGTCTTCTACTTTACAAATATTTTCTTCTGCTGTATCTGCTATCAACTCTGGAATTTCTTTTTGATTCTTCTTTATGATCTCTATCTCTCTGTTAAATTTCTCATTTTGTTTGTGTATTCTTTTCTTGCTTTTGTTGAGCTGTCTTTCTGTGTCTTTTTTTGTAGCTCACTGAGCTTCCTTAAAACAGCTATTTTGAATTTTTTATCAGTTAAATTACAAATGTCCATTTCTTTGGGGCTATTAGAAAATTAATGTATTTCTTGCATGGTATTATGTTTCCTTGATTTTTCATGTTCCTTGCTGTCCTCTCTGCTTTCATTGCATTTAAAAAAGTAGTCACCTCCTCCAGGTTTACTGACTGGCTTCCAGAGAGAAATCCCTTCTTTCAGCCCTGCTAGGAATTCTGATGTTTCTTCAGGCCTTTTCTATGGGTATGCCTGCTCTACACTTCTTGCTCTCTTTTTGGCAGAATTCTTAAGCCTTCTTTCTGTGCAGTAAAGATAGGTTAGTTGCTCAGAGTGTGCTTTTTGTTTTCCTTATGGCTGTCCTGAGTGCTTAAGTTTATGGTTTCTTCCAGGTCAGCTTTCTGGGGGTGTTTACTGTCTGCCAGATCTCACTCTATTGCTGTTTGGAGCATGCACAGGGAGCCAGCCGCAAGGAGGAGCTTGTGTGATTGAGACACATGGAGTATTGGAGGTGCCTGTGGACCAGTTTTGGGGAATCCACAGGTGGAGTGTTCTCAGCAGCTGATGTGTGGACTTCCTGATGGAATCCTTGACACACTTAACAGGTATATCCCTTTAAACTTTCAGTTCTGAGCCTTCGCCGCTGTTCTTGCAGCCAGTCTCTGCCCTCAGGTCATACACTTATGACTCAGTTCTCTGGATGAGACAAGACAGAAATGGGTCTTTTTGACAGTATTCTGCATAGCTAGCGAAGCTGGGTACTCACTCACATCCTCTCACTTTTTCTCATGGGAGAAATCTCAGGATGAAAAGGGCTCTCTTGGCACTGAAGTATGCTGCCCTGAAGAAGGAGTGGTGGAGGTAAAACCAAACTGTTCCTTTTACCCTCCACAATGTATCCAATCTCAGATTTTGTTGTTGTTGTTTCAACAGTGCGCTAGAACTTCTTTGCTGGACCCTTGGATTTCAACAAAGCCACTCCAATCTGTGGATAATAATCAAATTGGTTTTCTTTTTCACAGGGGGTGGATGGTAAAAAACAAAAACAAACAAACAAAAAAACTCACAAAACTCCTACAACATTGATGTCATCACTGTAATCTTCCTTCTCTCTTGCCAAATATTTTATAGGAAAATTCATTTATTGCTTTTATTTCTCTGATATATCTAATTATGTCAAAGTTCTTTTTAGAAAGTTTTCTCCCTTCTCATTGAGAAAGGTTCTTCTTTTGTAGCATTTTGATGCAGTAGTATTTTTAGTATTTGCCAATGTAGATGTACAAAACCTTTTCTTCCTCTTCCTAGGTAAATTAGAATAATTAGCAGCAAAATCATATTTTTCCCCCGGATATGGAGGGTGGCATACACAGTTTTTGTCTGAAGGACAGAGTGTTTTATTCTCAGTATCTCCTTAATTTTGTCCTTATCCAAATCCTGTTTTAGTTTGAACCAGAATATTCATTTCTGTATCGGATCTGTACTCTACATTTAGAAGGATGCATTTATAAGGATACCCATAAACCACTGGTTCTTCCTCACCAATTTAATTAATGTTTATTAGATTTCTTTTTACAAATTCTACTGATTTTAAAAATAACATGTGCATTGCAGAACATTTCCATTTAAACAAATAATTATAAGCTTCATATTATTTCATCATCAGCTAGAGATTAAACTGAAGCCACAGGCTGAGAGGTTTAGTAAGAGATTGTAATTCCAGGCTAGTCATTCACATTTGTCAAATGTGAGTAAAAGCTGGGGAGGATTTTTAAGTCACTAAAGATAAAACCCTTAATGCATGTTAGGATAATGGCTCCATACTGTCAAATTTATGTTTATTCTTCATCTTATTTTCATGAAAGTATCAAGACTAAATTATTTCTATGAAAATATTTTGGCATATCTTGGTATTAAAAATTGAATATAATTTTGGATACAGGTGGTACAAAAGACTAGCTATCCCAAATGAACTTTCTAACTAAAATGCTAGATTAAAAAGAATGTATTTTAAAAAGTATTGCTGAGATGGCATAAAAATATACTCAGGAAAACCAAAAGAAGTAAAAGCATTTAACTTGCAGATTTCTGCTAAAAGTAGGGTATGTGTATATGTGTGTGTATGGTGTACATATTTTTGTAAAATTAACTGACCTTTAAGAATAATGTGGGAAGTTGGGGAGAAGACAAGGGGTAATTCCACAATAAAGGAAAATAAAAAAGAGGGCACAATTGAGTATTTCGGAAAACACTTGTATAAAACACCATTACGTATGGGTTATGACATCATATGTAAGAACTGAGAAAAAATGGAATGAGATTATAACAGCACAGAATGGAAACCATTAGAATCCTGTATTTTTTATATTAGTGTTACATATTTTCCGAATGCTTAAAATATTTTATAAAATGAAAAAGCATATTACAAAAAGTATTCTAGATAATTAGGTACTTATTTTATGTTGTTATATCTTTTACCTTGATTGTCAAAGGATGAAAAACTCATCCTGTTTGTTGAGAGTTTAAATGGTGTGATGTCACTGGTAAAAAAATCTTCTTGCTGTTCTGTGGACATATATTTGTTTTTAAATAAATTCACACCTAAAACAAAATTTTAAAAAATTTCAAAAAGATGTTATGACTATTTGCATACTACTCTCCAGTCTCCATGTATTAGTCCTTATTCTGTGTTTGTAATCTTTTAATATTTGAGTGGTCACTTGTCTATCATTCCAATTTCTATAAACTTCATTTTCTCTCCCTTTTTTTGTTCTGTATTCTTAGATAACATCTTCCTTAATCTTGACCTTTAATCAAACCCATTTATCTTAAATGTGAGTATTAATTTCTGTATTTGATCTATAGTCTCCTTTCAACTCTTTTCCTCTTAGCAATTTCTCTTAAATTTTGTTTAGAGCATTTAATTATAAATTCACAATAAATAAGCACAGATTAAGTGACTAAATTAATTTTTTTCTTAAACAACATGGCATTTTATTTTATTTATTTTTTTAAGATTTTTTAATTTATTTTTTGACAGAGAGAAACACAGTGAGAGAGGAAACACAAGCAGGGGGAGTGGGAGAGGGAGAAGCAGGCTTCCACTGAGCAGGGAGCCCGATGCGGGGCTCGATCCCAGGACCCTGGGATCATGACCTGAGCTGAAGGCAGATGCTTAATGACTGAGCCACCCAGAGGCCCCATGGCATGGTATTTTAAATTGACAAATTTTGATGAGAGTACTTCATCACAGTGCCAAAGATTATTACTTAAAATTGATGAGAACCCCTAATAATGAGGAACACTGAAGTAAATAGTAATTCATAGTACCAAAACAAAAACAGTCTGAAAATTAAAGATATAGAAAAAATGACTCTTCACAATTTATCAAATTTGTTAGAGTAAAACACAAAACAAATTTAAGTGTTTGATTCAAACAATTTCATTTTTATACCACCCTAGATATAAGCTCTTTGAGTAAATAAGTTTTATTTGATTCATTTTTTAAAATTTTATTTTAATTCCAGTTAGTTCACATAACTGACTGATACTAACAGTATTAGTTTCAGGTGTACAATATAGTAATTCAACAGTTCCATATAACACTCCGTGTTAATCATGACAAGTACACTCCTTAATTCCCATCACCTATTTCTCCCATCCTCCCACCGCACTCCCCTCTGGTAACCATCAGTTTGTTCTCTAGAGTTAAGAGTCTGTTACTTGGTTTGTCTCTCTTTCTCTTTTTTTTCATTGCTCATTTGTTTTGGTTCTTAAATTCCACATAAGTGAAATCATATGGTATTTGTCTTTCTCTGACTTTTTTCACTTAGCATTATACTCTCTAGTTCCATCCATGTTGTAGCAAATGGAACTCAAAATGGATTAAAGACTTAAATATGAGACCCAAAACCATAAAAATCCTAGAAGAGAGCTTAGGAAGTAATATCTCTGACATTGGATGAGGCACCATTTTTCTAGATATGTCTCCTGAAGCAAGGGAAAGCAAAACAAACTATTGTTTCTACATCAAAATAAAAAGCTTCTGCACAGTGAAGGAAACAATCAACAAAATTAAAGGTAACCTACTAAACAGGAGAAGATATTTGATTATTTTTAACTACTTTTTTTCAGGAATAAAAATGTGATATAATGAAATAAATAAAGCATTCAAAAGCAAAGTTTCAGAAATCTTGCCTTCATCGTAAATTTCACCAAGAACACCTATTTTGTGACTTGTATGTGAGAATTCAACTATTTCCACATTCTAGATTTCAGCATCATTTCTGCAAAAAGTCATGATTATGGTATTTCTTGCACCTAAGAGAAATGTATTGGGCCATCTGGGTGGCTCAGTTGGCTAAGTGTCCAACTCTTGATTTCAGTTCAGGCCATGATCTCGGGGTTGTGAGATTGAGCCCTCCCCCCATTGGGCTTTACACTGAGCATGGAGCCTGCTTAAGATTCTCTCTGTCTTTCTCCCTCTGCCCCTCCCCCCTCCACATGCATACATGTGCATGCACTCTCTCCCTCTCTCTCTCTCTAAAAAAAATAAAAGAGACAGAGAGAGATAGAGAGCAATGTATCTAACAGTGTTACTCCAGGATTAGAAGTTGTAGTGTTATCTGTGAATTATATAACACAACTCTAGTAGAGATGTATATCCATATACAAACTTAATTATAACAGGGATGTGGTAACCAGTGAAATAACTGTTATAATGCTCTTATAAAACTCATCAACTAGCCTTTTTTCCTTTTTCAAATTTAAAGCAACTTTCCTTTCTAAGCCAGAAATAGAAAGTGAGTAGAATAGTAGTAAGAAATACTACACCAAGTGTATTCTAAGGTCACTAGGGCACTGGATTTTATGGCTTACTTTCTAAATACATTTTAAAACTGGGACGCCTGGGTGGCTCAGTCGTTAAGCATCTGCCTTCAGCTCAGGTCATGATCCCAGGGTCCTGGGATCGAGGCCCGCATCGGGCTCCTTGCTCAGTGAGGAGCCTGCTTCTCCTTCTCCCTCTACTGCTCCCCCTGCTTGTGCTCTCTCTCTCTCTGACAAATAAATAAAATAAAAATCTAAAAAATAAAAATAAATTAAAAAAATACATTTTAAAACTAATAATATCTAGCTAATTTTCTATTGATAGTAAATACTAGAGTTTAATTAATTATAAGAGGGAATTCATGAAGATTTTTACCCACATAATAATGCATAGTTACTGTTGTCATTAAAGATCCATACTTAATTAAATTCCCAAAATGGTATAAACCATAAATATTAGACTTAAAAAATATTTGTTCTTACCAGGGTGAATTTTAAGTTGTGTTGTGATTTCACCAAATATTGTTTCTCCTCCAACAGTATATGTCAAGTGTTCTACATCAGTCTCTATAGACCAAAAAGAAAAGAAAATTCCAAATACTTTATAAGGTAAGCATTAATGTGTGTGTGTGTGTGTGTGTGTGTGTAGTACAAACTTAATCAGCATTTGTTCTTATAGAAGAAGAGAAAAACACAATTGTCTGAATTGCACAATAAAAAATTTCATAGAATTTGAAGGGCTCTTAGCAATCATATAAGCCTCACTATAATGAGGCTCAGAAATGTTTAGGGATTAGATCAAGAAAACATATCAAGATGATGACAAAACTGATGCACAAACTGACCCCATATTTCCTTAACCAGTGCTTTTTCTACACAATGCTCTTTTTATAAAAAACTTAAATCATCTTGAGAAATTTATGTTAATCATATAACTTCTAAATTTATGCTAAAAGAACATTAATGCTGTAGGATATACAACTGAGATGGAATATGACAGTTTTGTTCATAGTTCAGGTTATAAACCATAGTCCCACATCAGAAAAAGTTACTATGAGGCAGTAATTCTTTGACTCTCTCAAGACTATTTTATGTCATTTTTAGGTTATATAATTGTAAATCCAGTAGGCATCAGTGATGTAGAAAGGTAAGATATTCTGTGGTCTAAAAAAAAAGTGCCTATCAGTTCCCTTTATGTGCATACCTTGTAGCTGGGGAAAGGAATATGAATGAATTTTCAGTAATAACAGTATTGCAATTGCACACAATTTCATTTAAGTTTTTATGTGATTTTAACATTTGCTGGATTTAGAAACCATTAACTAGGTCAAAAAAGAGGAAAAACACATGAAAGATATTAAAAAGGAATTTATATCAAATAAAAAAGGAGATAATTAGAATTGGTAACTTGGGTCAAATAATGTACCTAGTATTTTGTGAATGAAAGTTGGTTATTGGAGAGTGTGTATCAGAGATTGGAAAACTGTCATGAACTTGACACCATAAGGTGGATCTTGCTTTGTTGTAATTGCTGAGACCATGAATAACCGTTAAAGGTTGTACAATGACCTTTGGATCCCAAATATATATTCACCACAACTTAAGAAGAGGTGGGACTAGCCTGGGTATCTTACCAAAAAGAACCACAAAAAATAGATTGGATGGAACAAGTTTCAATAAGTACATAATGAGAGAGGGGGGGAAAGATGGTGGTGGAGTAGGGGACCCTATTCGAACTGGTCCCCGGAATTGAGCTGGATATATACCAGACCACTCTGAACACCCACGAAATCAGCCTGAGATGTGAGAAGATATATCGGGACCTCTATAAACAGAATATCGCAGGCGGTTGGTTTCGAGGTATGAAGCAGGGAGCCCTGATTCTGCGGGCAGATATCAGAGGATAAATGGCAGTTGGAGGGAGCCTGGCTGTGGGGATCCTACACTGCCAGTGAGTGATAGCCTCCCACACTGGGGATGGGGCACAGACTCCCAGACTGGTAGCAGTGGGGAAAGGACTTTAGGGCAGCCTCTGGGTTGGAAACCCAGAGTGGTGGGGTCACATGTGCGAACTGGGGGCAGCTGATGGTTTTAGAAGCATAAAAGGCAGAGAAGTACCCCAAACTGGAGGCAGGAATGGGAGCACTGCAAGGGGCGCACAACCCAGGACGCTGCAGTTTATAGCAGCACAGACAGAGACGGAGGTAGTGTGGCCTGGAGAGCTCAGTGAAGAACAGACTGTGATCTCTCTGCTCTGAGGCAGAGGGTTGGAAACAGTCTCTTCTGCTCTGACTCTCGGAAGAGACACGGAAAGCCACCAGGGAAAGCCACCAGAGAACAAAAGCCCCCCAAAACTGGTTCCCACTGAGCCCGCAGGGGGGCAGGGCAACTCTGCCCAAACAGGGTTGCCTGAGTAACAGCAAGGCAGGCCCCTCCCCCAGACGACAGGCTGGGAAAACAAGAGGTCAGCAACCCTAAGGTCAAAACAGGTGCATCTTGCTTGGATTCTGGTCAATAATTTGGACTCTATACATTCCCTCAACCACCCATCAACAGAATGACTAGGAGGAGGAACCCCCAAAATAGGAAAGACTCAGAGAATATGACTTATGCCACAGATTTACAAATGGATGCAGATATAACCAAGATGTCGGAGATGGAATTCAGGCTAGCAATTGTGAAGACAATAGCTAGAATGGAGAAATCAATTAATGGCAACATAGAGTCTCTAAGGGCAGAAATGAAAGCGAATTGGTAGAACTTAAAAATGCTATCAATGAGATCCAATCTAATCTAGATAATCCAAAGGCTAGGGTAAGTGAGGCAGAAGAATGAATTAGTGACCTGGAAGACAATTTAATGGATAAAAACGGAAAAGAGGAGGCCTGGGAAAAACAACTCAAAATCCATGAAAATAGAATCAGAGAAATAAGTGACACTGTGAAGCATTCCAATGTCAGAATTATTGGAATCCCGAAGCGGGTGGAGAGAGAGAGAGGACTAGAAGTTATATTTGAGCAAATCATAGCTGAGAACTTCCCTAATCTGGGGAATGAAACAAACATTCATGTCCTAGAGGCAGAGAGGATCCCTCCCAAGATCAAGGAAAACAGGCCAACACCCTGGCATGTAATAGTAAAACTCGCAAATCTTAGAACCAAGGAAACCATCTTAAGGGTAGTTAGGGGGAAGAGATTCCTTACGTACAGAAGGAGGAACATCAGAATAACGTCAGACCTATCCACAGAGACCTGGCAGGCCAGAAAGGCCTGGCAAGACATATTCAGGATACTAAATGAGAAGAACATGCAGCCAAGAATACTTTATCTGGCAAGACTGTCATTCAGAATGGATGGAGAGATGCAGAGCTTCCAAGACTGGCAGAAACTGAAAGAATATGTGACCACTAAGCCAGCCCTGCAAGAAATATTAAGGGGGATTCTATAAAAGGAGAAAGACCCCAAGAGTGATATACAACAGAAATTTACAGGGACAATCTATAAAAACAACATCTTCACAGGCAACGTGATGACAATTAATTCATATCTTTCAAAAATCACCTTCAACGTGAACGGCCTAAATGCTCCCATAAAATGGTACAGGGTTGCAGATTGGAGAAGACAGGACCCATCCATATGCTGTCTACAAGAGATTCATTTTGAACCTAAAGATACATCCAGACTGAAAATGAAGGGATGGAGATCCATCTTCCATGCCAACGGATCTCAAAAGAAAGCTGGGGTAGCAATTCTTATATCAGACAAATTAGATTTTAAACTAAAGTCTGTAGTTAGAGACACAGAAGGACACTATATCATTCTTAAAGGGTCTATCCAACAAGAAGATCTAACAATTGTAAATATCTATTCCCCCAACGTGGGAGCAGCCATCTACATAAGCCAACTGTTAACCAAAATAAAGAGTCATATTGGTAACAATACGTTAATTGTAGGAGACCTCAATACTCCACTCTCAGCAGTAGACAGATCATCTAAGCAGAAAATCAACAAAGAAACAAGAGCTTTGAATGATACACTGGACCAGATGGACCTCATTACATATACAGAACATTCCACCCTAAAACAGAATGCTCATTCTTCTCGAGTGCACATGGAACTTTCTCCAGAATAGACCACATACTGGGTCACAAATCAGGTCTCAACCGATACCAAAAGATTGAGATTATTCTCTCCATATTCTCAGACCACAATGCTTTAAAACTGGAACTCAGTCACAAGAAAAAATTTGGCAGAAATTCAAACACTTGGAAGCTAAAGACCACTCTGCTCAAGAATGTTTGGGTCAACCAGAAAATCAAAGAAGAACTTAAATAATTCATGAATACCACTGAGAACCAAAACACATCAGTCTAAAACCTATGGGATACTGCAAAAGCGGTCCTAAGGGGGAAATACATAGCCATTCAAGCCTCACTCAAAAAAATAGAAAAATCCCGAATTCACCAACTAAATCTACACCTTAAAGAACTAGAGAAAAAGCAACAAACGATGCCTAAGCCACGCATTAGAAGAGACATAATTAAGATTAGAGCAGAGATCAATATATTAAAAACCAGAAACACAGTAGATCAGATCAACGAAACTAGAAGTTGGTTCTTTTAAAGAATTAATAAGATTGACAAACCACTGGCCAGACTTATCCAAAAGAAAAGAGAAACGACCCAAGTTAATAAAACTATGAATGAAAGGGGAGAGATCATGACTATCACCAAGGAAATAGAAACAATTATTGGAAATTATTATCAACTATATGCCAATAAACTGAGCAATCTGGATGAAATGGATGCCTTCCTGGAAACCTGTAAGCTGCCAAGACTGAAACAGGAAGAAACTGACAACCTGAATAGGCCAATAACCAGCAAGGAGATTGAAGCAGTGTTCAAAAACCTCCCAAAAAACAAGAGTCCAGGGCCTGATGGATTCCCTGGGGGATTCTACCAAACATTTAAAGAAGAAATAATACCTATTCTCCTGAAGCTGTTTCAAAAAATAGAAAGAGAAGGAAAACTTCCAAACTCATTCTATGAGGCCAACATTACCTTAATCCCCAAACCAGGCAAAGACCCCATCAAAAAGGAGATTTTCAGACCAATATCCCTGATGAATATGGATTCCAAAATCCTCAACAAAATCCTAGCTAATAGCATCCAACAATACATTAAAAGGATCATCCACAACGACCAAGTGGGATTTATCGCCGGGATGCAAGGGTGGTTCAACATTCACAAATCAATCAATGTGATGGAAGACATTAATAAGAGGAGAGAGAAGAACCATATGGTCCTCTCAATTGATTCAGAAAAAGCATTTGACAAAATACAGCATCCTTTCCTAATTAAAACTCTTCAGAACATAGGGATAGAGGTAACATTCCTCAAGTTCATAAAATCCACCTATGAAAAACCCACAGAGAATATCATCATCAATGGGGAAAAGCTGAGAGCCTTTCCCTTAAGATCAGGAACACGTCAGGGATGCCCATTCTTGCCACTGTTGTTGAACATAGTACTAGAAGTCCTAGCCACAGCAATCAGACAACAAAAAGAA